AGAGAGAGAGAGAGAGAGAGAGAGAGAGAGAGAGAGAGAGAGAGAGAGAGAGAGAGAGAGAGAGAGAGAGAGAGAGAGAGAGAGAGAGTACTTGAGTTGCAGCGTTGAGCCGCGGCTGTGGCCGCTGGATACTCGAACTCTTCAATATTAATATCTCATATTTTTTAGTGGATACTCCGAAATGCATCTGGTGCTGATTCGTGTGTCATCTCTCGGGTGTGGTGTGAACCTTCATCTGACTGCTCTCATCTTGCATGTGCAAGTTGGATTGGAATTGTGAGGTTCATTGCAATGAGGTGCAGGACTCCGAGCGGACGTCTTCTTGGCTGGCAATGGTTACCTCCTGCCTAGCCTCGGACCTCCTGCTAAGGCTAGGGATGTCACCTTCGATGTCACCCAGTTTGCCTCTCCCCAGCATCTGCTGCTTGAAGTTGTCGATAATCTCCCTCTTCTTTGTTGGGTCCTTCTTGATTCGTTGTCTGGCACTGCCCCAGTCAGAGTGGTATGCGACCTGCAGTGTCTGAAGGAGGCCCTCCCATGTTTCCTCCGCCGATGTAACTTGTGCATCAATAGCCTCTTTGCACCTCCTTGACAGACTGTCCAGCTGCCGTTGTTTCTTTTTCTTTTCTTTTTTCTTTTAATTATCATCCGCCGGGCATGCTAGTGGTGGTGGTAAGAGCACCGCCCACCCACCACTATCAGTTCGGCTGATGACTCCAGTCTATTGGTGGGGAATGCACCTGCTGGAAAACGGGTCCAGCGGCCCTTGTACAGAAGATATGATGCATAATGAGATGGTCGCGGACTGCCTCTTCAGTCGTAAGAGGACTTCCACATAGGTAATTCTTGCCAGACCCTGGGACCTACTGAGCCCATATTGAGATCAAGAACCAGATGTTCAAAGGGCCTTACAAATAAGTGGGAATTGGACGGCCAGAAGGGTGGGGATTGGGGATGCTTGGGGGAGAATGGTGACCCCGTTTTGCCTGGATGGATTTCCAGCGAAACAGTACCACGGTGCATCCCGCCCGGCTTGGCTGTATGCATGGCACGCCTTAGAAAAATGTCCATGAAACGTACTGTTCGTTTAAGTTTGTCTTGTTCCCTACTGACCTTGAGATGCGTTCTCAGAATGTAATCATGTGTCCGGCCTCCATCTGCTCTCTAGGATCAGGCCTGTACACAAATCATTCATCTCGTCTTCCTTTCTTTCTCTTTCTTTCTTTCTTTCTTTCT